GACCCTCCTCCCCCCCCCCTCGCGGGCGTAGCTCATCATTCGCAACTGCCCTGGGCGTGAGCGATGGATGAGCAGCACGGTCCCACTCTTAATCGTTTGGAGTCGGATAATTATAAGGCCGAAGTCGGACGAAACTCGTTTCGCTAATTTTCACAGAAAAAAGGGAAACCGCGCGTGTGATGCTCCCTCGAAACTGGATACTTGGGCGCGTTTTCTATTTTCTCACCTTGGTTCCTATTCCGATCGTTGCGGCGTTGCGATACTTCCCCTAATAGGACAATGGTGCTTCCAAGGTGTTTTTAAAATATTTCCCGGAACAAAGAAGTATTTCTTAAAAATAATAACAGTGTAGGTCTGACTCAAAAATTCTTGGGGGTGGTGATACGTTTTTGGGGAACACTCCTCTTGGGCGGGGCCCCTCTTAACTAACCTATAGTCCTCCTTTCTATGGGGTTTTCAAGTTTTCGGGGTCCCTACAAGAAACCTGCCGAGGCCCTTTGAGCCACCTGTCAGAATTTCTGGGGTGCGCACAAGCAACCTTGCACCTCTGGCCAGACCGCCCCTGGGCGAAAACTAAAACAACACGACAAACTAAAACAACAAAACAACACGATAGTGTTGAAGAGCGCGCCCTCATTGATGTCTAAATTGAGAGTAAATTGATTCTGAAAATGAACTGAAAAAGAATACATATCTTCATTGCAAGATTGGATAGTTAAGGCGCCAATGTAACATTATAGGTCCCTTCCACCATCTTGCATTTTCGAATTTTAAAAATTTGACTGAAAATTCGAGGTTTCCGTCAAAAAGTACGGGGACCAAATTTCACAAAAATCGATCAATCAGGCGCAGAGATACCTAGGATTTTCTTTAAACAATTAGTTCCTTCTTATTAAATTCAATATCGCGGATTTCACCATCTATAGAATTTCACGAATTAAATCAATCTGAAAAAAGTATTTTTTACCTCTCTTATAGATTTTTCTCTTGTGGTGATATAGTGGGTGAGTTTTTTCTTTATTCGACACTGAAATTACAGAACGAAAATTGGTCAGCTTGGGCTCTGCTAATGTTTAAATTGACTCTAAAATCCTTGAAATAATCTTAAGTGAAAAAGTTCTAAAAAGATCTTTTGTAATGTCAGAAGGCGTACAGAGGGTCAGTGGCACATACCTCTACTTTTTGCCAAATAATCTATGACTATTTGTTAATGCTCAAAATCAAGATGATTTTTCCAGACTGAGCAAATTTGTTCTATAGCACGCGTGATAACACGAGTAACAGGCTCTCGTCATAAATTACGGAAGAATTTGATATTTTGTGAATGCGGAATACTAGACAAAGCACAGATTTTAATTTTCAAACAGATTTGGGAAATCCGAGACATATAAAGTAGAAAATAATGTAGTTACCTGCTTTTAATGTCTGTGAAGGAACTGACTAGCTGCCATTTGATTGCTCAGAATATCGCAGGCATGTAAATACATCTATGATTAGTGGCATATTTCAACTTTTTGGACGCTAATTGCCTCATCTGACCTCACCTTATAACTTCAGTGTTACGTTGATTCGTTGTTTATCCACACTTGGTGGGCGTTATCAATAGACATCAGTTACGTTTAGGAGACAATATAATTCACAGTCAGATTGGCAAACTGAATCAATTATTTGATTTTCTTCTTCTACCTATTGATCCCTAATTATTCGATCTCTATTCTTTAGTAGGAAACGCACTTTTGTTTAACTCTTGCAGAGTTTTTTTAACTCTTTTCGATGTGTTTTTTAATTTTACATACGGGAGGGAACTTTTAAATTCACAGACTCTGTTTCAGTTCTCTAAAAATATTAGCATAGTGCTCATTGATTTACCATGGGCCACTAGGCAGGGTATGATTTTAAGCATTCTGATTAATGTTTTTTAATCAGAATTTTGTGTGGAACACGATTTTTGCTTCGACAATAACTGAAATTTACTCCTAACTAAAATATTAACGTTTTTATTTTACTTTGGTCAGGAGAAATTTGAATTGCTCGGTCATAAAATAACGCAATTAGTCTTCGTCAATCAAATCGAGCCTTAACAACTGTTTTGTCAGGCTTCTCAATTGAGTATTGTTCCTTCCCCACCCTTCCTTGTTCAAAGTATAAACAATTTGCTCTAGCTGAGCCAAAGCATCAAGATTCAGGTTGCGATATTTTCATATCGCAGCGACTGCAACGGTAACGTTTAGTTTGCGATTTGAGTCATGTGGACCATCGCGTTTCATGAGCGGGAAGTTTTCATTCACGCGTCAAGAAACTTTAAATATCTTTCCTTGGAGTTGATATCAGTTATTTTTGTTGCGCGAATCGTGTTCTACATTAAATTTTGATTAAGAAACATGTATCAGAATGCGTAATTTCGTACCTTGTCCAGTGGCCAATTCTCACGCAGGATTTAGGTGTTTTATTGTGTTTTGCCTCGACGAAAAACTTGCCAGATTATTTGTTATTACAAAGTAACAAAACTCATTTTACCGGACTTTTAGCTCAATTTTGAAAGCTCAAGATAGCATCGGTAGCGTAACAATGACGTAAAAGGAACTGCCATGCTGCGTTGATACTTAAAGCACAGATTTTCTCGGTGACTTAAACGCAAGGTGAGAAAAGTAGAGACCAGCAATTTGTCCATCATTCATTGTGTCAAGCGTCGTCGGTGCGGCGTGTCAGTTTCAATAATTACTTAATGATATACAAATCGCTGAAAGTGTTTAAATCGAGTACACACAATACTTTAATAATGATAGATTTCATGCTTCAATTTGCACGTCGTTTATTCTTTAAAGAGGGATCGTAGTTAGAAATTATCAATTTCCGCGGGGTTCCAATTCTCTAGCTTAAGAGGGATTACCTACTCACTGAAAGAGACATTTTTCTACGATCAAATGTATAGTTAATGACGTAGTCCGTTCTGACGAAATGAAATTCCTATGTACAGTCGTATATGAATACATATTTTCATAAAATGATTTTCTTATTTTTATTTTATTTGTTCATTTCGATTCAACTATTCAACTTTCGATTGAACATTTTCGATTCAAACTAAATCAATGCAATCATTGAAAAAAGCGACAAATTAACAAAAATCTTACTCGGCACATGCCATTTCTTTGGTTTGTAAGTTGGTGACGACTACATTGAATTTCAAAAGATCATCCAATTCGACAGAAGACGTTTGCCCAAAATCATGCGCTCAGAAACTTTATTTTTGATTCTTACGTTTTGAAATATTAATATAAAAAAGATTATTTTACGGATTTTAAATTATGCGTTGAGGGTTTCAGTAGCCCACAGCTTACTTTAAAAACGTGGCAACCACGCCGCAGTTTTCTTCGAAGGAGTAAATTGATGTCATGTACTCGGTTCCTAATAAGATCCTTTGATAAAATTCATCCCCAGCTAACAACTGTTTCAGAAGCTTCCTTTATTACTCAAATGATACAGGTGGTATAATTTGACTAATTCTACCTTCACGCAAAAGTCCTGCACGAAATAATTAAACTTCTTAGGCACACTGTATTAAATTTTACGAAAAAAAGTAGGAAAAGCGATCGGCTTATGCAAATGGCTGGCATTTCATTCGCCTTGAGTTTTCCTTAATATTGACATTTTATGTTCTTTTGAAAACCGCCGCAGGCAAATTTTTGCCGACAAGAATGGCAGGAAACTAGTGAAATGAAGAGAGAGGAAATGGCTTCATCAATAAATTTTGCGGCGGTGCTATTTTTTAATATTGGAACACAAATAGTTCCTAGTGAATAGATCTCTGAAATAGATACACACTTGGGTCGACAAAAGACGATCATTAAAAGATTTTTTGTTTTCGAATAATTTTATAAATCTAGCTACCATCGACAGCTACACTATAAATGGATGGTGACTTTTTTCGGCCGTTTCAAACATCGCATTAGTGAAGTTACCGATATTTCAAGTTTGCTCTCTTCAAATTATCCTGTAGGGTTACGAAATAAGGAAGAATAATTCTGCGCAGAAAACAAATATGTGAGGAAGAAAACAAGGGAAAAAATTATCGGTAGTCTTATTCACATTGAGTACTTACTGCTTTATCTGTCTGTCATTGTAAGGAAAAAATGGAGTTTTAAAATAACCCAACCCTTGGCAAACACGAGACGTAAAACATTCCGAACATTGGAAGGAAAATGAGAGGTTTCGAATAGCTAAACATGTCAGTCCGGTTGCCATTATCAAAAATCAGAAGATATTTTTAGTGCTCTATATTGCTACACCTCAGTTATAAGACACCAAAATTAATATTTGCACTGATGTACTCAACTCTCTGAAAAAGAAAGTAATTTGTCTCCAGGTATTACTACAGAGCTGAAGTGAGGGGTTTGGAGGACAAGGCGCATGAGTGCAGTTTTTGAAAAGATTAATATATTAATAATTGCAAGTGAACCTATAGTCTTAATGCGTATTCTGTAGAAAATTCCCGCCCAAATTCCAATTTTTAAGCACAAAAAGTCAGTTTGAACTTTCTTTTCACTATAAGGATTAAGTGTCCATGTAATTTCGAAACTTCAAACACGTATTTCTCGAAATAGAAAAAACTGCACTCATGCCCCTTGTCCTCCAAGCCCCTCAAATAATTTTTCTCTGCCAAAATTGTCAAAGAAACAAACCAGCATCATAGCGAAATCTGGAATTAAGTCACGTCTCTTTGTTTGGATCGCACAATTTTGGCCCTCTTTCATTCTTTCCTAAAGAGGAGCTTTGTTACTAATAAACCCTTAACTTCCTCAGAATATAAGAGTCTCTGGTCCCACCTAGAGTCCCTTTATACTGAGAGTCAAGTCACAGTGTCACAAACGGGAATAAAGATTACATTTTCACCGATTGCAAAGATTATAATCTGGAATGGACCAGGAAATTACGGGTTCGGCAAGGA